AGACAGAAGTGGGATGATTATGGCTACAGATGTATACTGAATTGTGTTGAACTCTATCAAGTTTTGAATTTTGTTATCGGTGAATTTGTTTCAGCCAGTAATTTCTAACGTAGCCTTCGCACGCAAAGGTCAATTCCGCAGATTTTCAGGATCTCAAACGGAATTTGTACCTACTTATTACATTATAATTAGTAGGTATACCATTGATTCATCTAATTAACGACATTTTAATTACACTGCAAAAATATGTCATCTTATTGTTCTGACGTTTTGTGAATAATAAATTGTAACTACTTTTCATAAACACAGAATTTAAGAGCTCAGCAGTGATCGAAACTTGTACAGATACTTGAATAACCAATGCACTTCTGTTATAAAAGACAAATTTTTCAAATATATAAGTTTTTAAATAAGATTTAGTCAACATATTACAGATTTTAAAAGTGGGAAACGTTAAAATAAAATTTTTCAGATTGGCCGGTAGAATATGAGAATACAAATTTAATTATGTGTTGCCTCTAACTAACTTATATAACCTACCCTTAACTTAACTGACTTAACTAAACCTAACTTAACCTAACCAAACCTAACCTAACCTAACCTAACTCAACCTAATCCAAAGTAACATATCCCAATCTAACTCCTTCTTCTTTAAGGTTTACATGCGTCATGTTTGTGTTTTATGATTAAAATATATAATAACATTCAGGTCAATACACAAACTTTATTTAGATGTTAAAATTTAAAATTTAAATGTTAAAATTTAAAATTTAAATTTGAATTTTATTATATATTTTAATCCTTCTTCTTTATTACGCCGTCTCATTTAGAGGAGGTTGGCGACATATTATGAACACGATCCTTCCATCCTTAATCTAACTTAAACGAATCCAAAATAACCGACCTGCATAGCATCAAAGCCTGTACCGCTTAAGGACTTTCAAATAACCTTCCAGGACTTCTCCAGGATTTCTCCAGCACTTTTCCAGGATATCTCCAGTACTTCACCATGACCAAAGAACTTCCGCATTTGTTCTCCAGGACGTCTCCGGGACTACTCTAGAACTTATCCAGGATTTCCCCAGGAATATTCGAAGAATTCTCCAGCATTTCTGCAGCACATCACCATGACCAAAAAACTTCCCCATAAGCTCCCCAGGACATTTCCGGCACTACTCTAGGACATATCAAGGATTTCTCCAGGACTTCCAGGAATTCTCCAGGACTTCTCCAGTACTTGTCCATTACCTCTCCACGACCACCCGATGAACGCGTTAGAAGTTCTCCAGGACACAATTTAACCCATCGTAAAACAACATAACCTTATTTAACCTAACCCAACCTAACTCAAAACGCTACCTAATCCAATGTTACTTATCCGAATCAAACTTAAACGAATCAAAAATAACCGACCCGCATTTGATCAAAGTCACCACTGCTTAAGGACTTCCATATAACCTTCCAGGACTTCTCTAGGAATTCTCCAGCACTTCTCCAGGATTTCTCCAGGACATTTCCAGGATTTCTCCAGCACTTCTCCATAACCAAAGAACTTCTTCTTAAGCTCTCCAGAACTTCTCCGGTACTACTCTAGGACTTATTCAAGATAAGGAAAGGTTTCTCGTGCGTAATAATTGGCTTTGTCAAATGTACATGAGTGTAAACGTGATATTACACGTCCCTCACGTTATTACTCTTCCTGCTTTGACTGTACCTGTATTTTTTATTTTATTCTCTTGGCATCTTTCTTTATTCTGTTATCAGCTAATTGTTTGCCTGTCTTTTCTTCCTTTTGTTACCTTTCTTATTTCGCTTTGTTTCTCCTTTTCTTGATCGTACGATTGTCTAATTCTTTTATCTTTCTTAGAATAGATTTTCTTTTGTGCCTTGCTGTACTTCATCACATCCTTTTCTGCTTCAGCATTTTATTGTAATAAATTATTTAAATTCTAGAAGAGGAGTGTCTGTGATTTTAAAACAAACAGTTTGTGCTCTACATTCTACAGTTCATAAGATAATGTAGACTATACTAGCTTTAATACTACAATTTCTTCTTTTTTCCTGAATATATCTTCCCTTCTGTTTCCTTCCATCGATTTGCATAATACGTCACAGTGGGAAATGTTCAGTCCAACTCAAGGGAACATAGTCCTTAATCACGCACGCAGTCAAGAAATTACCCTGC